CCTGCGCGGTTCTTTGGCACCTCTGCCTAAGATATAAACTGTCTGACATGGAAGCACAACTCCAGAGAAGGGGGTGGGGAACCTAAGTTAAATAATATTTTGTTTTTGTTTTTTCACTTGGCAGAATGGGGGCTGAAGTTGAAGTTAGGTTTGGTTACTAAACAATAAAGAAAGCAACATTTCTCGCACACCCGACTGTGTGGTCTGATTTTGCTGCTGCCTATAAACCGAGAAAAAGTTGTAAAATGAAGTACTAATCTCTAGGGTTTAGGTCAGACCGCGGAGTAGTGCCACTCAGCCAGAAGCTGGCTCATGGCTGGCCAGTGCAGTGATGGTGGCAGGAGCTTCTCCCACCTCCATGGCAGCATTCAGAATGCCCAACTAACGGTTTAGGCCCGACCCTTGGGGGCCTAAGCCTTTAGTCGGACATCCCCCGAGGGCTCCCTGGCTGCCAGAAGAATGTCTGACTGCAAGCTTAAGCCTGATCCCCCAGGGAGTGGGCCTAAGTCAACAGGTAGATATCCCCCAAGGGGTCCTGGACTGCAAATGGGCGCAGGCTGGGCTGAGGGACCCTCCTCCCCGAGTGCACAAATTTTTGTGCACCCGGGCTGAGGGACGCACCCTCCCCCCCACCCCCGTGCACAAATTTTGTGCACCGGGCCTCTAGTGATAAACTATTTTTATAAAAGCCATTCCTTCTCAGATTGAATTATCTTTTATGGCAAAACCAACCAACCAACCAAACAAACAAACAAAAAAACCACTTTCTAGGAATTGACTGTGACAGGGTTGTTCGTATTTGATAAGGTTTTCACAGTGAACTTGCCCGGAATCAGTAGACTAACTGCGTGCAGCCTGAGGTGGGGCCCAGCTCCACGGGAGCCGCCCTCAGAGGGCTCGCTCTCTCATTTTCCCTATTTCCCCACAAAACCAGAAGTCTGTCCTGGACACAGCTTCCCCTGGGAGCTGCCTCTGACGCCGGGCGTTTCGAAGGGCTCGTTGCCATGGTTTCTGTCTCCCTCCATCATATGCCAAGGATGTCAGTTGAATAGCCAGCCATAGGCAGTGATTCCCAAGTCTTACACTTGTTCCACCTGCCAAACATCCCCTCCCTTTTGTGTATTTGTTATTTTAAGACAAAAGCAGATTAAACTAACTTCGTGACTTTAGGGGACTCTCTGAAGCTCCTATTGGTGGCCACCATTCCTATTGGTGCCCCTTTCCCCACCCTGTTTCTGCCCACGACCTTGGGCCATGCAGGTGTGAGTCCTAGGGCAGAGCACCATTGTTCTTGGCCAAACAGTGGGCCCCTCTAATAAATCATCGCACGACCTGTTATGTTTTTGTTCATTACAGCCCCGGCCCCCAAGAGGCAAAAATGCGACCACTGGTCCGCGTGCCCCCCGAACACCTATGCTTACCGGTTGCTCAGCGGCGGGGGCAGGGACAAGTACGCCAAAATCTGCTTTGAGGATGAGCTGTAAGTAGCAACGAGAGGAAGGAAAACAGAGCCGCCTGATCCCTTCCCTTCTCTGAGGCTGACCAAGCAGCCAGCCTGCCCCCAGCAGAGAAGGGCACGTCCTTGACCCTGGGCAAAGGCTGGGCGCATCTGGGCACTGAGAGTGCCAGCTGTGCTCCCCGGGAGGATGTGGACTGAGGCTGTGTCCCAGTGTTGAACTCTCATTTGGCAGCAGGTCAGACAAGCCTTAGCTCATACTGTGTAGCCTTCTCTGAATACGTGTCATGGCCCTTCAAAGTCATGGGAACTGAACGCAGGTTTTCTTCCATTTTGTTATATGATCCTCACAGATTAAGGCAGGTGTGGCTTCCCTTTCCAGCCCACACCTCCTGGTTGCAGGTCTGTGTGACTGCCTTGCCCACGAGAGAGCCTAAGTAAACCCTGAGCTTGGAGCTGTCCTAGCCTCAAGTGCACTCGCCCACCGGGGCGGGGCTGCCACACAAAGAGCACAGGCTGGTGCCCAAACAATAGGAATGCGTTCTCTCCCTGGTCAGCGGGCTGGAGTCCAAGATGGAGGAGTGGGCATGGCTGGCTCCTTGTGAGGGTGGAGGGAGCACCTGTCCAGGCCCCTGCCCTGGGCTGGAGGTGGTGGTCTTTTCCCGTGTCTGCATCATGTCCCTCTGTGTGTGTATCTGGGCCCAAATTTCCCCTTTTAAAAAGGACTCTGTTCGTACTGGTCACTGATATGGGGCGATCTCTATTGCACTGCAGGCGGCCAGGCTGCTCTCGAGGCTGGTGCAGCTGGCACCGGGCACCGGGCATCCCTCTCCACCATCAGCCTGGGGTGACCTTTGCCTCCCTCTCTGGAGTTGCAGCCCCCATTTCCAGGATACACATCTCACTTTCTCAGTTTCCTCCCGTGTTTTGCTGGAGCATGTCCTCTATTAACATCCCGAGAAAAGGGTAGAAGGAGAGGTAAAGTTTTTAAAGATTCTTCTGGTTTAAAATATAGTCATTCCCCCTCACAATGAAGGGATAGTTTGTCTGAGTATACATTCCTAAATTAGAAATGATCTCTACTTCGAATTTTGAGGTCATTGCCTGGAACCATAGTTAGCCTCCGACCGGCAATGTTCGAGTGTGGTAACCAACCGTGGGAATGCGCTTCTCAGGTCTCCAGACCCAGAGGCCCCATAGCTGCATTCTGAAATTTATAGCACGTTTGCTTAAGGCCATGCTTCCATGGGCTGCTCTGGTGATTAAGCATTGTGGTTCAATTCCCAGTCAGCGCACATGCCCAGGTTGCCGGCTCGGTCACCAGTGGGTGGTGTGCAGGAGGCAGGCAATCGGTGATTCTCTCTCATCATTGATGTTTCTACCTCTCTCTCCCTTCCTCTCTCTGAAATCAATAAAAACATTGTATATAATAAAAGCCCGATGAGTGGCACCCCCACAGCAGCCGATCCCCACAGGCCACGCCCCCCACCATGCACCGGGCCTCTAGTATTTAAATAAAACATAATATAAAAAGTATTTATGACTCTTGTTGATGATGGTAGGGCAGACTTTATTCAAGGTGGGCCATGGCACCCACTACAGGGACCTCTGCAGCGGGGTCTGGCAGTGGGAGAGAGAGATTGGACTTAACTCTGAACACAGTAAGTGGGAATCATAGCCAAGGAGCAGGGTGAGGTCAGTGAACAGGAAATGACTAAGAGGAACTAAGCACCTGGGTGGAGGGAATTCTGGCTAAACTACTCTAGCAGGTTCCTTGCTGAAGGTGGGCTCAGGAGGTCAGAAATCACCAGGGTGGGGAGTGGAGGACGAGGAGCCCAATCAATAAGGAAGGTGATCAGATATCAAAGGCGGGGGCGGGGGTTCTAGTTAACCCGACTTAGCAGAATTCTTGCTAAAGGTGGACAATGCAGAGATAAACACGGGAGTCCAAAAGTTAGGCCTCGTTGAAAAAGACCTCTGGGTAGCCCGGGTAGGGTTTGGGGAAGAAGAGAGTCTGCCGGCACCGGGGGTCCCAGGCGGGCCCATTCCTGGGAGACAAGCACCAGGGGGCCCTGGCCTTGCTAAGCCCTCAGGAGACTGCAGGGTGGCCTGGTCCCCCCAAGCTGCTTCCCTCTTGTCTTCACTTCCGCTCGGACTTGCAATGTGGTCTGACCGGCTCTCCCCAGTTCCCCGCCCCTCCCCTTCTTCCCTCGGAGGCCTTTCCCCTAGTGAAGGCTCTTGTGCGTTCAGTCCTGTTCTGCTCTCGGCTTCTCAGGGGACTCAGGGTAGCCTTGACGAGCATGGCTGTTTCCCCGTTGTCTGTCCAAACACAACATGTGGGCAAATACTTTGACAGTTGCCATTGTGTGAGCTGAAACGCGGGTTTCGGGTCAGATTTTTACTTTGTTATTGCTCTTGCCATGAGTGTATTGGGGATCTCTATGCCGAGTCCTTGTGTTTATTTTTGTATGAGCTATCTTTTCATATCTCTTGGCCATTTTTATTTCTGCCATTGGCCATTTTTATTGATTTATAAGATCCTTTGTATATTGGTGTTGTAAAGATTTTCTCTATATTTTGTCTTTACATTTATCAAAGGGGCATTTTTAAACATGCCTGTACCTTAGTTAATGTATGACCTTTAACAAAACAAAGAAACTATAGCCATAGAGTAAAAGCAAAATTTTAAAAAGCAACAAAAAAAATATCTCATGGCCCACCCCTTCTACTTCAGATTCATAAAGCCGAACAAAGAACGCTCATGAGGTGGTTGAGGACTCGGTGGGAAAAAAAAAAGTTCATAAAAAGCCTGTGCTAAACAAATCTGAGATTGTCCTCTCCCGGGACATGTGTCTAAATTATAAGATTCCGTGCAGCTTCCAGGTTCCCCGAGGGACTTGGGGAAGATGTGTGTGGAGGAGTGTGGGGGTGACAGTCAGGCTAAGTCAGCGAGGGAGGGAGCGCGGTAGGTGACAATGGTAGTGGCAGCGACTGCCAGGAGAAGATCTTGGGGACG